GAGCACTTCCTTGCTGAGCGTGCCACAGTATTGCCGGACGAACAGTTCATGGACCGATTTCCTTATGCGTAGCTCCCGGTTCCTCGGCATGCGTTCTCGGTGATGTTTATCTGCGCGCGATTTGGCCCACAGAACGTTTATGGAAACACCAGTGACTACGTCCGTGGCGCCGTCCAAGGCTTCCATAGCCGATTGGGCGTCTTCCCGGCGGGCAAATTGCACGAACGAGTGGTTCCTCAAATTTTTCACCCGTTTGACAGTACCGTACCTGCCGAATACTTTAGTGAGCACTTCCTCGCTGAGCGTGCCACCGTATTGCCGGACAAACAGTTCATGAACCGATTTCCTTATGCGTAGCTCCGGGTTCCTCGGCATGCGTTCTCGGTGCTGTTGAGTCACGCGCGATTTGGCCCGCAGAACGTTTATGGAAACACCAGTGACTACGTCCGTGGCGCCGTCCAAGGCTTCCATAGCCGATTGGGCGTCTTCCCGGCGGGCAAATTGCACGAACGAGTGGTTCCTCAAATTTTTCACCCTTTTGACAGCACCGTACCTGCCGAATACTTTGGTGAGCACTTCCTCGCTGAGCGTGCCACAGTATTGCCGGACGAACAGTTCATGGACCGATTTCCTTATGCGTAGCTCCCGGTTCCTCGGCATGCGTTCTCGGTGCTGTTTATCTGCGCGCGATTTGGCCCACAGAACGTTTATGGAAACACCAGTGACTACGTCCGTGGCGCCGTCCAAGGCTTCCATAGCCGATTGGGCGTCTTCCCGGCGGGCAAATTGCACGAACGAGTGGTTCCTCAAATTTTTCACCCTTTTGACAGTACCGTACCGCCCGAATACTTTGGTGAGCACTTCCTCGCTGAGCGTGCCACCATATTGCCGGACGTACAGTTCATGCCCTGAATTCCTTATGCTCAGCTCTCGGTTTCGCGTCATGCGTGTGCGGTGCTGTCTGTCCACAGACTGTTTGGTCCACAGCACGTCTGTAGAAATGTCAGTGTCTACGTCCTTGATGCCGCCCAATGCGTTTTCAAACACATTTCCCTGGTGGATGAAGTACGTGAACGAATAGGTGTTCAAGGTTCCCCATATCTCGGTGGTACCGTATCGACCGAACACTTTAGTAATAATTTCCTCCCTGAACATGTCGCTGTATTGCCTGAAAGAAAGTATACGAACCGCTGCCATGATACCGTCAAAGAATTCTAGTTTGAGGTCACCCCAGTCGACAATGATCCGACACCCGATCGTCGTGTTCCGAGACAACCAGCGCTTGGCTTCTACAGTCACTGCTCGCGTATAGTCGTCCAGAAAACAGAAACCCCGGTGTAGGGCGAAGTCCTCGAAGTTCTTGTTCGTGATCACGCGGACCAGCTCGAACGTTTTCCTTTTCAACTCCGCGCATATGTCCCGTTCCGTTTTTGCCTCAGCCAGATTACTCACCAACAGTCTGTGCGGGTCGTGGTCCCGGCTCCGGTCCTTGGTTCCGACCCCGATCCCATCTCCAGCCTTGGCGCATTCAACGATAATTACCATGTTTTTTTCCACGCGAATATTTAATTATAAACCGTATAGAAATTAGTCGAACAGCCGAAATTCGTTTATCGCACAAAGTTTTCTGTATTCAGATTCTTTGTTGACAAATTCTTAAAGGTCTGNTAATAGTCACGATCGAGTTGTAACAATATTCAGTTTTACTGGGCGAAACTATAGTGATTTTACACGCGGCCAATCGATTATATGATTATTTTTAATAATATTAGTTTTTTATTGTTTCAAGTTGGTAACATAATGATCAAATGATAAAACTATTTAAACCAATAGGCCAGGAAGCAATGGTTGGGATGGATAACTCAATAATTATCTTTATCTACCTTTCTTAACCTGCGGTACGCGAAAACATTTTTTGATGAGTGAAAAATAAGAAGTTATTAGTTGTAATGTAGTTCGTTAATTTATAAAATAATAATACAAACAAAATAGCTATACATTTATTTAATATTACCTAGTTTGTATCGAATGCTCATCATTATGTAGTTTTGATAATAAAAAGTTCCTTGTAAAATAACGTACTCGTTTTATTATCATACCACCTATACACCTAATTTATAATATTATAGGTAGCATATTTTATTAATAATGCACGCAATAAGAAAATAATATCGATGTTTATTTGAGTCGGTGCAGAAGACGATAGCTGTGCTATGGACGGCGATTCGAGTATATGCATATAAAGGTATTAGAATTGCTTCCGAAACGCCCGGATGGTGCAATTTGAGAAAAAAAATGTAAGATAATTTAGATGGGATAGCCACCTGTGTAGGTAGGAAGTTGGGAAGATTGAATACAGACTGGATTTTAATGTATTTCTGTAAGGAACGATAAACCATTTTTTATGAAAAACGATTTTAATTGGAGTTCAGTTGATAGTAATGCTTTGTCAACAATGTATATGCGATATTAAAGTAAAATAATTAAATATACTCTGTATTTTTTCTTTTAAAATATTTGTTTAATTTTGTACCAGTTTTCCCTAACTACAAAAAAAAAAAAAAAAACAAAATCGAAAATTTTAGAAACCGGTATCGAGTCAAAATTCCTGTTTTTTCCTATTATTATAACAAATTACTATAAAAAATGACCTTTCTAATAGTGCACTAACAAGACAAAATTTGATTCAAGAAAAAATGCTACACGCTTTATCATTTGAAGACGACTTCTAGTAGAAGAGCTGTTGCAGACAGAAAAAAAAACATAATAAAACCATCAAGTAAAACACTTCTTATAACGTTCAGCAGACCTAATCTAAAATAATGATAATCGAAACAAAATTAATTTCCTTCAAAAACATTACCTACTTGATTAGCGACAGAATATTATATATTATCATAATTATTTCTTATAACTGCTCTTAAAAAATTGTTAAATTTAATTATAATTAAGTTAACTAATTTGAAGATAGGTGAATATTTGCGTCATCGGTGTTTATCAAGAATTTTCAACGTTTAACAGTTTACTAGGTACATATCTACGAGAGCAATAATACTTTTTCAGTATTGTACCACACGTACATTTAAGTACATTATATTATACAGTATTGTCGCGGTGGTGCCGTATCTATTTGCGGCTTATTTTTTATTATTGTATTAATATATTATTGATGGATGGTTGGACCTTTTTTCCCCCTTTTTTTTTACAATTGTCACAATAGACACAAAATGCTAAAAGGAATATTAGAAAGCCGTTCGGGACTCCGGGGAAAAAATATTAAAGCTCTCGACCGTTAAAAACGTGAACATTTCCGATAATCATAATGGCGAAAACGGACGTAACTGCCATACTATATTGCTATATAATGTACGGACGGTGGACATTGCAATTATTTTGTAAATATGAATATTTTACCGAAAGTATATCATCGTATCTATCATATATTTGCTTTATACATGGCTCACTGCCCAAGGTATATTTTATTATGTTTTAGTCAAAGGTATAACACTGAACTCCTATATACCTCCTATATACTCCTATTATACTGTGTTTATATTAATAATTTATGTAACCGCGTTTTGAAATTCTAAAAATGTTCAGGGTTCGCAAATTTTTTTAAAAATAAAAGAACTCTTTTGTTCTTATATCTTATCTTATATGTTTTCTAGTCACTCCACTCATCCACCTGCGAATTTTCGGGTAGGGTATTCTAAAAATTGCTATAAATATAATAATTACGTTATGTTTCAGATTATTTTTATAATTTAATATCTGGACACAAACACAAAATCTATGATCGCCATTATTATTTATCCGTGGTGGTACCACCGCAGACGGAATTATAGAAAAACTTCAAAATTATGGAGTCCACATCAATGCAGCTCCGAACTGCGGCCTCGTAATCCCCACGGTCGCCGCGTCGGTCATCGAATCCCAAAGTGTTGAAGACAAGCGGACGTATTTCTTCGCCGCTTTCGTACAGATCGCCAGCGCGGACACGACGAAGCGCGTGATCGTAGCTCTCGTTGACGTCACAGCAGATGGTTGTGTTCGGTGCTCCCGGTTTACAGTACAACAGATAACGCGACTGCGGCGGAGCGTCCGATTGTTTCTGGAATTGACAGTCGAGCCCTTGACCGCTAAAACCACAACAGCAAAGTTCGTGCTTCACGTCAGGGTCAAGGACGGTCCAGAACGTGGTCGGGACAGTGTCAGACGACTTCATAGTCTCCTGAACGTCGGCAGTATACGAACTTCGTCCGCCGGCTACTTGCCTCATGCGCCACTCCCGGTTCCGCGACAGGCGTTCCCGGTGCTGTTGAGTCACGCGCGATTTGGCCCACAGAACGGTTATGGAAACACCAGTGACTACGTCCGTGGCGCCGTCCAAGGCTTCCATAGCCGATTGGGCGTCTTCCCGGCGGGCAAATTGCACGAACGAGTGGTTTCTCAAATTTTTCACCCGTTTGACAGTACCGTACCGGCCGAATACTTTGGTAAGCACTTCCTCGCTTAGCGTGCCACCGTATTGCCGGACGTACAGTTCATGGACCGACTTCCTCATGCGCAGCTCCCGGTTTCGCGGCATGCGTTCCCGGTGCTGTTGAGTCACGCGCGATTTGGCCCGCAGAACGTTTATGGAAACACCAGTGACTACGTCCGTGGCGCCGTCCAAGGCTTCCATAGCCGATTGGGCGTCTTTCCGGCGGGTAAATTGCACGAACGAGTGGTTCCTCAAATTTTTCACCCTTTTGACAGTACCGTACCGGCCGAATACTTTGGTTAGCACTTCCTCGCTGAGCGTGCCACCGTATTGCCGGACGTACAGTTCATGCCCTGAATTCCTTATGCTCAGCTCCCGGTTCCGCGGCATGCGTGTGCGGTGCTGTCTGTCCACAGACTGTTTGGTCCACAGCACGTCTGTAGAAATGTCAGTGTCTACGTCCTTGATGCCGCCCAATGCGTTTTCAAACACATTTCCCTGGTGGATGAAGTACGTGAACGAATAGGTGTTCAAGGTTCCCCATTATGCTCAGCTCCCGGTTCCGCGGCATGCGTTCCCGGTGCTGTTGAGTCACGCGCGATTTGGCCCGCACAACGTCTATGGAAACACCAGTGACTACGTCCGTGGCGCCGTCCAAGGCTTCCATAGCCGATTGGGCGTCTTTCCGGCGGGTAAATTGCACGAACGAGTGGTTCCTCAAATTTTTCACCCGTTTGACAGTACCGTACCAGCCGAATACTTTAGTGAGGACTTCTTCGCTTAGCGTGCCACCGTATTGCCGGACGTACAGTTCATGGACCGACTTCCTCATGCGCTGCTCCCGGTTTCGCGTCATGCGTTTGCGGTGCTGTCTGTCCACGGGCTGTTTGGTCCACATCACGTCTATGGAAATTCCAGTTTCTACGTCCGAGGTGGCGTCCAAGGATTCTATATCTTCTTGGGCATCTTCCCGGCGGGTGAAGTACGTGAACGAATAGGTGTTCAAGGTTCCCCATATCTCGGTGGTACCGTATCGACCGAACACTTTAGTAATAATTTCCTCCCTGAAAATGTCGCTGTATTGCCTGAAAGAAAGTATACGAACCGCTGCCATGATACCGTCGAAGAATTCTAGTTTGAGGTCACCCCAGTCGACGATGATCCGACACCCGATCGTCGTGTTCCGAGACAACCAGCGCTTGGCTTCTACAGCCACTGCTCGCGTATAGTCGTCCAGAAAACAGAAACCCCGGTGTAGGGCGAAGTCCTCAAAGTTCTTGTTCGTGATCACGCGGACTAGCTCGAACGTTTTCCTTTTCAACTCCGCGCATATGTCCCGTTCTATTTTTGCTTCTAGCGGATTGCCCACTAGCAGTGTGTGCTGGTCGTGGTCCCGGCTCCGGTCCTTGGTTCCGAGCCCTATCCCATCTCCAGCCTTGGCGCATTCAACTATGATCACCATGTTATTCTCCACGTGAATGTTTTTAATTATAAACCGTATAGAAAGTCGTAGAACAGCCGAAATTCGTTTATCGCACAAAGTTTTCTGTATTCAGATTCTTTGTTGACAAATTCTTAAAGGTCTGTATCTAATGTTCTTTATAATAGGTACTCGAGTAGTAATAGTCACGATCGAGTTGTAACAATATTCAGTTTTACTGGGCGAAACTATAGTGATTTTACACGCGGCCAATCGATTATAGGATTATTTTTAATAATATTAGATTTATATTGTTTCAAGTTGGTAACTATTACTAGTTTACTATTAACCATTTAAACCAATAGGCCAGGAAGCAATGGTTGGGATGGATAACTAAATAATTATCTTTATCTATCTTTCTTAACTTGCGGTACGTGAAAACATTTTCTGATGAGTGAAAAATAAGAAGTTTTTAGTTGTAATGTAGTTCGTTAATTTATAAAATAATAATAAAAACATAATAGCTATACATTTATTTAATATTACCTTGTTTGTATCGAATGCTCCTCATTATGCAGTTTTGATAATAAAAAGTTCCTTGTAAAATAACGTACTCTTTTTATTTTTTGGTAAGTAAAGAATAAAAGCTTAACAATCGTGTTATGTAGGTCGTGAAAGTTTTAAATCATTTGAATGGTACGCATGTATGGAAAGATTGAGAACCGTTGCTGTAGAGTATCAGAACGTATTTAGCGTATTTACCTAATACTGACTACTGAGTATATTGGTCTTCGGTACGCGTTTACGAATCGTATTGGCGCACTGTATCACGTTTTATTATCATACTACCTATACACCTAATTTATAATGTTATAGGTAGCATAATTAATTAATAATGCCCGCAATAAGAAAATTATATCGATGTTTAATTGAATCGGGGCAGAAGACGGTAGCTATGCTATGGACGGCGATTCGAGTATAATATTATTTGTTTAATGTTGTACCAATTTTCCCGGTGTTCCTGTGTTTTACTCGGGTTTTACACATTTGCTGGGAAAACTCTTGAGAAAATTGGAAAACTACCTTTCTTAATTACCTTCCCATGCCGATTTTTTATCAAAAAAAGTGACACCCTTAAAAATCCGAGCAAGTCGTTAAGTAAAAATAGTGTTTACTACAGATATGTCCTATGAATCGAAATCGACTTTCTATGCACAATTTAATTTCTTATTACACATTTTCACAATAAAAGTTTCTTCGATCTTTTGAAAAAATAAGACACATGATACATTTTAAAATATATATCGCGATGCAAGATGAAATAATTGTATTTTTGACACACGTGTCTGCGATATTGCCCAACACTACAGGCATTATATTTTATCAGGCACTGTACCACTGCGGCTCTGTAATATAAATAGGCACGACTGAAGTCTATAATTATAGTATTACCGACATTTGCATATTGTAATAATATCCCGGACGCATACCGCGTATGTATTTTTCATTAATAATTTGAAACGACATCACACACGTGAATCGCGGTTATATGATTAATTATTTATAACAGCTTCGAATAATGTCAGAAACTTCTATACACATGACGTGAACATACGCGTATATACACCTGCCTACGTAATAATATTACAGTCTCTTTATTTTCGTGTACAATATATAGGTAGACAATAATAATGATAAGCATTGTATTATGATATGTTCGCATTGAATTATAATGCATATTGATATTATTGTCGTAATTATAAAGTGCACCGTGTATAGGTAGGTACACGGAAATGCAGTATTCGACCACGCATCATATTATTGTTTCAAATGTGTAATAGTGTATTATTATTACAGGCCATTGTCTGAAATACTACAACTGAACATTTCATAACAACATTCACAATTTGTGTTATTTAATTTACGTTGTCGTTATCTGATGCGGTTGTAGTAATTTGTTATATTAGTTAAGTATTACACCTATACAGACTACATAGTGGTCCATTTAAATACCTACGTTCGATTGACTTTATTGACATATTGACTATCAAACAGATTTTGTTAGATACCCGATTAAAAAAACAATTAACTTTAAAATATTGCATTATCCGTTACCATTGATTTTTTTGTCGTGTTTATTTATCGGTGTGAAACGCTATCTAATTTTCATTTCAAATAACTACCTATACTATAAAAAAAAAATTCCGTAAATGGACGGAGTATTAGTTTAGCCAAATTTTGGTTGTTACAATTTTTGATTTCTGTCAACTCGTTGACGAGATTAGTAAAACACTATAAAATTCCGCTTGTCGTGCCACCATACAAATTAAAACTTTATTTTAATAACTTTGTAAAAGTCAATAATTTTAAAAATATCGAGTATAGACACTTAAATGGAACGCTCTGTATAAACACGTTCAAGCACTTAAAAATCTCTCGGGAAATAATACTTCTCTTAAACTATTAATTTTATCATTCAGAGCATATTAGGTAACATTTTACATCGTAAGTGTAAAACAACATTATTGCATTAACAGCATATATCTAATAATATTTATAGGTATAGGATACAGGGTAGTTACGAGTTTATGACCGTGAAGACGTTATCATAATGTGATGTACAAGAAAAAAATTGTAAATACATAAATTATTAATTTGTATTAACTAATATCTTCTTCTTCTTTTTCTTATCCCTCACTTTCATCTCAATTATGTGGGGTCGGCTACCCTTATCCCAACAATCTATTTTTCGATCTTCCTCTCTCCCTCGTTCTTCCAACGTTTATTTTTATTATAATTCGTGCAACCTTCTCATGTCATGCCTAAACCATCTCCATCTATTTTCTCTCATTTTGTCCACTATCGAAGACACGCACAAGCTACCTTTTATATACTCATTCCTTATTATATTTCATCTCGTCACTCCACTCATCCATCTAATCATTCTCATCTCTGATACACTCATTCTCTGTTTTATATTTTGTCCACTACTTAAAACTCCGAACCATATAACATAATCATTCTTATCATACTTTTGTGGAACTTAACTTTAAGTCTCATTGGAATTCTCTTGTTATACATAAAACACCCGATTTCTCCATTTTATGCAGCCACACTTAATTCTGTATTTCACGTCCTTATCAAAGCAACGCCGTTCTTTTATATAAAGGATACTAGGTAACTTTTTAAAGCTCACAACCTCGCCTATTGTGCTACTGCTAATATTGTCATTAGCTGTATTGTTCTGTTTATCCTTATAGTTGTATACACTATAATACACTTTGTTTTACTTCTACTTGTCCTCGATCCCTTTCCTTCAAGTGCTACTTTTCATTTCTTAAACCTTATTTTATTAACTAATATACTTTATTAATTAGTTATTAATAATTATAAAGTATTAGCGAAGAACAATTATATAAAAAAAAAATCGATTATTTATTACGGTTGAAACAAAAATGCGCGTATTCTGCGTTCTATTTGTGATTGTAATAATGTAAATAATTGCGTATTTTAAATAATTTAAGATTTCATCTCGATCTGATTTAATAATGATTTTAATTTTAAAAATATATTTCTCTATAGAATACTTGTTTACCATATTATTATAACTACCTACCTATTATTATTGAGTTTTGTTTTGTAGCGTATACGAATGTGCAAGAAATATTTTGAAACTTTCAAGATTTTAAAGTGCTCACCCTAGGTACACAAATATAATAATGAATTCGGTTCAATAAGTAAGTATTTCTCCGAGTAATTCCAAGAAAAATGTAATAAAAAAAATGTATATATATATATATATATATTCACTTGATATTTTTTACAATTGTAGTCCTAGCTATAGGCAGGAAATCACTACTTACTGAGAAAAGAAGACATTTTTTAAACTCACTGTAGAACCATTAGAAAAAGAAGAAAATAAAAATAAAAAAATTGATGTAATGAAGAAAATCCGAGACTAAATTGTAATGGAACTTGAAAGTCGGCAAATAAAAAACGCGTACGTAAATTAATAGGTATAGGGGTAGGTACCTAATTCAAAATCATTATGAAAGTTGTTAGTTTAGTCGCATACAGTGGTTATGAAGTTTAATGTGAGAAGTGGTTTACGGTTAGGTATTGAGTACCTGGTACTCATCGTAATAAATCGGATCTCGAGAATTACCTATAGTAAATATTTGTCAAGTGTTCCAAAGCATTGTTTTTTTCTTTCTTTAATAAACCGAAAATAAAAAACGACAGTTCTCAAACAATATTTAATTTAAAATTACTACAAATTAATTAAACAATCAACGTTTGATGTTCAATTTTCGTTTTTAATATTTTTATAAACAATCGCACTTTTTTTAAATACGAAGTGTGGCTATTTAAAAGCGGGATTTCCTTCTGATTAGAGTGCAATCAACTCTCTGGTGGGTAATTATATCGTAGTTATTATCTGCACAAGCCAACACATCAAATAATATCAGTTTTATCTCTTTTGGTCAATTAGTTCGCATTCACGCGTAGTTTAAAGTGGACAATAGCATACGAAATTGCCGAAATAATGCCTAATTTAAAAATCGAACAGCGTGTTAATTTAAAATTTCTCGTTAAATTAAAAAAATCGCCCACAGAATGTCTAAAGATGTTGTCTGAGGTGTACGGGAAGGACACGATGTCACGTACTCGAGTTTTTGAATGGCATAAAAAATTTAAAGATGGGCGAGAAGGAGTGAAAGACGACGAGCATCCTGGTCGCCCTTGCACATCAAAAAGTGATGAGAACGTCGACAAAATTGACAAAATTGTCCGAAATGATCGACGTCTCAGTATTCGTATGGTTGCAGATATGATAAATATAGACAAAGAAACAGTTCGACAAATTTTACACAACAATTTAAACTTGAACAAAGTCTGTGCCAAAATGGTACCAAAAATGCTTTTTCTGTTAAGCAGTTTTTAGCCAATAAACGCATTCCAGTACTCGAGCATCCTCCATATTCGCCAGATTTAGCACCCAGCGACTTTTATCTATTTCCAAAAATAAAAACTGCGTTGAAGAGGACTCATTTTCGATTCGTGGAAGAGGTGAAGACTAAAGCGGCAGACCTACTTAAGGGCTTGACATCTAAAGAGTTGCAACACTGCTTCGAACAATGGAGAACACGTATGGAATGGTGTATAGTAATGGGTGGGGAGTATATAGAAGGGGATCACATTTAATAATTGTAATTTTACAAATAAATTAATTTCATAACAAAAATCCCGTTTTCAAATAGCCACACCTCGTATACATATTGTAGATCGATATCAAATCGTGTGGAATTTAATAATATTACATTTAAAACTTTATACAAATTGTAAATTGTAAATGAAAAATGGTTGACGTTCATACGAATCGTTGAAATTCATTTACGACTCTAATAATTTTGCAATATCCTGAACGAAAAATTAGTTTTATAATCATTTTATTAGCCGAGATTATTATATACTAATCGGTACGAAGATGTCAATATTTGTCCATCGCCTGTTGATAGGTAGCTGTTTATTACGATTTCCTGCAATTAGTTAGGTGCGTCATGAGTTTATAATCTAAATTGTTTATAAAAATTCCAATATATTTATGTATATTTATACATGAAATAATAATATAGTTAATATTGGTAATTCGAAATGTAATAGCTTATCGTGTTTTACATTTTGAGAATCGACGGTTTATATATTAGTGGAATAAGCTCAATATTACAAGTATATCCGGGCCAAGTTAATGATTATGGGAGCCACTGGGTGAATATCGGAGAGAGGCCAAAGTAAATACTGGTTAGTTTAAATCTTAAAACAAAATTGAAATGTGTAGATATTTAAATTTGAGAAGAATCTTACTACTAAATTATGAAGGCAAACTTACTTTGTCAGGGCATCTGGGACTAGACTAGTTGGGCCCTCTCTGAATCCAGCTCTGATTATAACTTTAACACATACATTTATAAATCGGTAAATTAAAAAAATCAAAAAAACTGATATTGCTAATCGGTGTGTTATTGATGTAGGTGGGAAGTTGGGATGGTAGAATATACACTGTACATATAATTATTATATTTATACTTGCAGAAAGCGATAAATCATTGATAATGAACAACAATCTTAAACGAAGTTAGGTCAAACAATTTTTTAAATGCCGTTGTTTTTACGATTTTTCATCAAAATTTTGAAATTTATATTCTTATAAAAAAATAAAAAACAAAGATAATAATAATAATAATAATAAATGTATAAAATAACGCTCAACTATTTTACCTCTTTATACTAAATTCATAATGAACCTCGTGAAGAATTCTAGGTTTGGATCGATCCAAAAAAATTGTATTCAGATAAAACTAACGAAATCGAAAAAAAAAAATTAAAAATTGTATAATCATAACTCAAAAATTGTCAAAATCACAGTGTTTTGTACAATTTGGCATGTCTAGAAAAGTGTAATATAAATTTTTTGGAAGAAATATAATCAGGACTTTATGAATATTTTTCAATTAACCACAAAAAAAAAAAAACCAAACTCGAAAATGTTAAAAACAGGTATTGAGTAAAAATTCCTGTTTTTTTTCCTATTATTATAACAAATTACAATAAAAAATGACCTTTC